CTCTTCCACATCTTCTTTGTCAATCGGCTCCATTGATAAGCTGCGTTAAGTGATTATGAAGTGTTAGTGGTTAGTTTATCCCGACCACAGGGGAGCGCATGGGATGTCTAGCTTACTGGAGAAACAATGCAGTCTTGTATCACCAATAAATCATATAAGTAGTTGAAATACGTATATCTTATTCCCGGATATGCGATATGGAAAAGAAACCTCTTCACCTTCCCGAACACTTTCCGATTGGGGATGGGAATTACTTGATGAAAGTCAATCTATTTACAAATCCTGGGCAGTGCAAATAAGTATAAATTGGATGAACAATACTGGTACAATATTTGTAATCTCGTTCCATTACCGTGATGTTTGTGCGGAACTCTGATACGGGACAAAAGCTCCGAACGTATGTTGGTTTCTGCTTCTTCATGCATCATTCCGTCGTCTTTGAGACCAGGTGTGTAATAGCGCATAAGCTATCTATTCTTTCAGTATATTATCGCGTTGGTGATCACACTAGATAAACCATTCCATGCTGAATTGGACGCAGCCTTACGTTACAAATCTGTTGGGACTGTGTTTCTCAGGTATATCACTTTGGAATATTTATTTGTATTAAGTGGGCTAATTCGAGAATAAGCAGAATAAATGAAATTGTTCCAGCTGACAGATCACTCCCGTGTTGGTTTCTAAGTTCTCGCTTAAATTCTAATTCGGACGAGTAAGACATCAGATCAGAAACTTACACCGTTCCTACGAATCAAGAATATGAATACCATCGGGTGAATTCACTCTTCCTCAATTTGGAGCGTCGAATTGATCTAGGTAAAATAGTCACTAACCCCTAGGCGTGTGCTTATATGTCGGTGACTCAGATTCCCCGATTCGGAACTAATATCAATAAATGTTTGTTCAGTAATCATAATATCGGAGGAAGTTTCTGTCGCACTCGGTTTTCAGTCCTGTAGCACATACAGCCCAATCACGAGTGTCACATTCGGTACCGATCTAATACTCCGCTTGAAGTTTCTACCTTGGATGTGTGTGTGTGTGCACTACCATGTTTTCACATAGACCCCACGTGACTATGGTCCAATCGTCGAGATAGTACCTTGAATCACAATACTGCTGTTCATAAGTGTGGATCAGGCTGGTGGTTTCCGAATCATTCAGTCGTCGCGGAATCTCATAGGTAAGATTATAAAACCGTAGATGAAATTAATTGCTCAATTTCTATGCATGCAATCTGAGACTGCCTTCAGTCTGAGTCGTGATATTTCATAATTGAAATTAATTTATCATATATTTCAGTATATCTAAAGCAAGAAGCTAAACTGATGAAAAAACAGTCAGACAGCATGACGAGTGGAGATCTCGACGCCTTAGATGAGGGCCTGTACAGTCGTCAGCTGTAAGTGGAATTTATTTATTGCAATATGATATGTTTATGTGAACAAATCCATACGTTATAGGACTCAGTTTGTTAAATTTGTGTTTCTTCGCTTAGCTATGTTGTTGGCGTGGAAGGCATGAAGCAGCTGACCACGTCCAATGTGTTTATTTATGGTGTTGATGGACTTGGTTTGGAAATTGCCAAAGACATCGTTCTTGCCGGAGTCCGTTCGGTCACCTTGTACGATCCGGAACCCATCACGTGGGCCGATTTATCGACCCACTTTTATGCTGGACCGGAAAACGTTGGACACTCTCGAGCAGAAGTATCTCGAGGGAAACTTGCCGCCTTGAATAGCCACGTGGTTGTAAATGTTCTGATTCAGTCTGGTGAACCGAAACCTGTACCAGATTTTGTGCGCCAATTCACTGTGATTGTTCTCGTTCAAGCGCCACACACAATGTGTTTGCAATGGGGAGAGGTTTGTCATCGATCTAAAGTCAAACTGGTTATTGCTAACACGGCGGGTTTGTTTGGTCGATTGTTTTGTGATTGTGGTGAGAATTACTTGGTCACCGATCCGGATGGCGAAGAGAGTATATCCGTGTTGGTGGAACATATTGAAAAGGTGAGATTCCCATTTCCATAAAATCACAATCCTTGATTGAAACAGTCTCCACGAGGTCTTGTAAAACATGTCCAGAGTCCAGACCGATTGTTCTCTGACTCCTGTTATGTAACGTTCCACGGAATAGTCGGTATGACGGAGTTAAACGAATGTGCGCCGCGCAAAATCACAGTGCAAAGTGAGTGGATTCTTTGAGTGGGAAAAGAGTGAGGGAAAGAGTGGAAATGTAACTGATAAATCCCCTTTTATAGGCCCTACTTCATTCGAGATTGGTGATACCAGTGGACTATCGGATTACATTTCGGGAGGAGTGTGTACTCAAGTTAAAATTCCACAAAAATACACTCATGTGAGTAGAAAACTGACTGCAGTTTCTGACAGATTGAGTTATTTGTCCGGTGGTTAACACTTTTTCTCATTTTCTGTTTCCTACCTGGCGTGAACCGTCCTGTGTCCGTTATTCAGTTAGCGTACGGGAAAGCGTTTCTCCAACCCCACGGGGAGCAGTTCGACTTTATCCGACAAAGTTACGCGGAGCAACTGCATTTGTGCTTTGCCTCATTGAATCAGCATCAGCTGTCACCGTGGAATCGAGTTCAGGCGCGACGATTTGTGGATCTGGTGAAACAAATGAATGAGACAGAACTGAAGGGTTCTCTGGCTTATTTGTCCGAAGTGGACGAAAATCTATGCCGTTTGTTTGCCATGATTTCCACTGGCCAGTGCAGTCCAGTTCAGGTGAGCGAACATTTTAGAAAAGGTACTGGTTGATTTTGCAGTCTGTCTCAAAAGGCTGACTTTCCTTGAATAACAACCACTCGGTATCTCATTCGTTGTTTGCCATTCGCGGAGGCTTTGGTGCATGCACTCACTTACGTACACACACAGACACGAATTCATATGCCATAGGCAGCTATCTGGAAAAAAACCTGGTCATTACGCCAACCAGTTGCCTCATCAGTCTTTAAATTGTTGAAATATGTCGCCCATAATAAAGACCCCTTTTTATTGTTCATATTATATTTTACGCGGTCAATGAGAACGAATAAAGATATTTTAGAGTATCAAGGTTGGATTAGCCCATTCGATTGTTCAGAGTCACCAGGCTTTCTTCGCGGTTCGAGTCCTGACAGGGACACAAAAAGTACGCACTGATGACGAGTCCCAAGCAGGACGAAACAGCTGTCCAGTACTCTTTGTCGGTTATCACAATCGCATGAATGAGAATATACTTACAAAAACAGTAACAAGTAGAATTGTCCGGTATTTTTTCCATGTATTCTCACATTCTTATCAGATATTAGTCTCTGGGATCAAATATTAATGCAAAAATGAGATTCAGTCGTGCTCATCACATGCCAGAACTACATCATCTGTACTGGTTGGTACAGTCTGATCCAGATCTCAAGTCACCCCACTCCCCCTCCCTCGGTCGTCTCGAGCTGTGAGAGCGTGAACACAAAGTCATTTTGACGACAGTGTTGTCTTAATCACAAAGAATACAGCCATACCACAGATTGATTTGGGGAGAATGGATTAATAGACCAATAAGAATCCGGCTCTAATTGGATGAACATTCGGTTGGGTCGCAGTGACTGATGACCATATTTCATGTCCAATCACGTTTGCCTAATCGAATGCTGGTGCACATGCTGAACTCCTGTAATGTTTCGCGTGCGTTTGCTAATCACTCAGAATCGTCGTCTTAACAGACCGGAAGAATAGAAATAGCATTGTGAGAATAATCTACAAAGATGTACCGAATCACTACAAACGATAAGAATAACAAGCTCACATCGATCCACAGTCTATTTTCGATCTCCATGGTCCCGGGGCGTATCCACGAATTGTACTGGATGCTGTTAACAACTAAGGAATGAACGGACGTGTCACATGGTTGTAGAATAACTTGAACTCAAATGGTTCGACCTGGGAGTCTTCTTCTTCAAGAGAAAAACTCACAATCCGCTTTATCGTTTCTGACTGTACTTTTAAGTGACCATAATTGTTTGTTTAACATTTCATTTCGGTGTAATATAGCTGATCCGAAATTCGATCTATTGGGTGAATAGGTTCACCTTCAATGAGACATTTAAAGTCATTCAGCTTGACAGAAAGAGTGAATTCCACAGAAAATGCTTCTAGTTCACAAAATACTGGTTAATTCCAGTCCTGGTTGCTTTAATTTAAATGGCATAAGAATAAGCGGTTTAGGAGTTATGGAAGCTCTATGAGTATTTACAAAAAAATAATAGAAAGAAAATATACAGTTGTGGAATTCAGCTTGATTTCCAATTGTGCGCAAATTGTGTCACCTTTTGCTTTCTTGTCCATCGGTCAATATACTGAATAAATGAATTGCCACTATCTTCATTACTGCTATTCCTGTGATGAACTCGAACATCTTGAATCGAAGTAAATATACTCCGAGGTTGTGTCTGAAAGTTTGAAAGATTGCCAGACGAAACCCCATTCATCTTGTTCCTTGAATCAGTACAATCCAGATTTTGTGAATTCCTCTCAAGTGTAGTGAGGTTCTACTCACATATAATGTAAGTCACGCACTAAACATACTATCCATATATAATGTGAGTAATCTGTTTTGTGCGCATATGATGAGCAGTCAGCGATTCTCACGACATTTAGCAATAAAAAAGAAATGCTGGGGTAGATTGTTGAATTCAATGCTGCCGCAAGAAATTAAAGCTAATAATAATATTAGTATTAGTATTACTGTTGTGGTTATTTTTTACACACGTCTGAAT